AGTGACGATCCTATGCAGCCCTGAATCTCAAAAAGCAAATAAATTAGCTTGACTTGCTAAAAACACAAGTGACAGATACAATAAAATATGAATCTAACTTAGAAACTGTGTGCAGTGATTCAGAGAAAACTATGGATTGCTGAAAACACAAGTGACAGATACGAGAAACCATGGGTCTAGTTTATGAACTATGTACAGTTATTCGGAAATATACCTGTCAATGCAATTATACAGAGATGTAGCCATAAATATCTGAGATTTGGGGCTTCACAGGATCATCAGTTTAAAGCTGGAAGGAATCTTGGAGGTCATTAAGGGGAAGGAAGGAAGCATTTCTATAGATAGCATCGATTATGTGCCAGGCACTGTGCTACATACTTCTACAAACATTTCAATTGATCCTCACCACCCTGGGAGGAGGGACTACTGTGATCCCCGTTTCACAGTTGAGTAAACTGAGGCAAACAGAGGTTAAGTGACTTGCCTCAGTGAGTACAGATTTGAACTAGTCTTCCTAATGCCAGACCCAGCACTTCCTATGGAAGGTGGGATTTTAATTGGGACTTAAAGGAAGCCAAGAAGGTCAGTAGTAAAGTGGCGGAGGGAGAGCATTTGAGGCACTGGGGATAGCTAGAGAGAATGCCTGGAGCCCAGAGATGGAATGTTTTATTCATGGAACAGCCAGGAGGCCGGTGTCACTGGATGGAAGAGTGTCTGTTGGGGAGACTGGAAAGGAAGGAATGGGTTAGGTAATCGAAGGGCTTCACTGCTGGCTTCAGAGGTGTGATCTGATGGGAGGGTAAGGGGGGAAAAAGTAGTGACTGAGGTCACCTGGGGTAACCAGGTACCCTCTTTGACTACCTATTCAGATAATCACCTATTCAGATAAAATTCAGAATATTACAGTGCTTTGAAAACTAATGAAAGGAGAACAAGAAATTGAGGTTTAATTTGTGTTAGATCAGTGACCCAAATAGTTCCTCCATTTTTCCCAACAAAGAAACCATTGATTTTGCTCCTAACACTTCAAGTTGTCTATTCACTAGTTAGTTAGTTCTATTTATCATAATAGTTGGTATTTATATGGAGTTTAAAGGTTTGCAAGGTGATTTACAAGTATTATCTCATTTTACCATCTGTCTTCACAACAACCCTGTGAAGTAGATGCTATTATTATTCCTATTTTACAGATGAGGAAACAGAGATAGACAAAGATTAAATGGATTGCCCAGGGTCACACAGCTAGTAAGAGGTAATATTTGAACTCAGGTCTCCCTCATTTCAGGTCCAGTGTTCTACTCACTGTACTACTTATCTGCCTTTATTTACTCAAAGATCTACTAGGGTTCTCATTAAGGAATGGAAAACTTAGGTGCTATATAAGAGAACAATGCTTAATATGTCTTAGAGCTACATATTTATAATGAATGAATGGTGTAGCCCTTGTCTCTGAGTATACCTTGACAAGTACATAAAAAAAAAATACACACACACACACACAAACAACACTACCACAGCACCTATGGAAATCAACTCTAGAGTAATACAGTTGAAAGAGCAGAGGATTAGTAGATGGAAGAATTAGGTTCAAATTCCAGCTCTTGGGCATAGTATGAATGGACACGCAGTGAAGTGAGCAGAACCAGGAAAACAATTTGTACAAGAACAACAGAATAGCATTGTGAAGAAAAGCAGCTCTGAAAGGCTTTAGAACTCTGATCAAAACAGTGATCGACTGTGTCTCCAGAGAACATAATGAATCATCCGGAATCAAGCCAGAATCACACTGACGCATGTTACCCATCTCGATAGATAGAAAGGTAATGGGCTTAAGGTACAGAAAGGGAACTACATTTTTGGACATGACCACTATACAGATTCATTTTGCTTATTTGTTATGAGGAGTGTGTGTGTGTGTGTGTGTGTGTGTGTGTGTGTGTGTGTGAGTTAACTGGAGGGGGCAGTGTCAAAAGGAAGGAGGAGGTTAGTAATAATAATGATGTCCCCCCCAAAAGAAGACCATTGAAACATTTTTTTAAATGCACAGAGAGCAGAAGGAAGTTTAGAAAGAAGCACAGACAGGAAGGAGAGTTTTGAAAATAACTTGTATAATTTATTATATATGTTTTAAAAAAGCAAGTCTGTGAAATGGACATTCTTAGTTTCATATAGAGTCCTCTTTGTGGTTTGTTCTGCGTGTGGAAACTCTCTTTTGGCAGGGCAGGAGTTTATGTTAAGAATAAAAGGTATTTTTTTAAAAAATCCCAGCCCTGCTTATTATTATTATTTTTTTTGTTTCCATGAGCAAGACACTGCTTTCTTCCTCCTCCCTCCACTTAGTTTCCTTTTCTATAAAAACGAAGAGGTTGGACTAATGGCCTCTAACATCTCTTCTGGTTCTAGATCCAAGATGACATGATTAGATATCTCCCTATGGGCCTAGGGGGTGAGCTCCCCAAATAGAAAAAGACCAGATGCAACATAGCAGATTCAAATCTTGCCTCTCTCTGGCACTTATTAGTTTATAAGACCATGAACAAGTCAATTAACTCTGGCCCTCAGTTTCCTCATATGTAAAATGAGGGGTTTGGACTCAATAAGGGGCAGTTGGGTGGCTCCATAGGTAGAGTGCTGGGTCTGGCATTAGGAAGACTAGTTCAAATCTGTACTCACTGAGGCAAGTCACTTAACCTCTGTTTGCCTCAGTTTACTCAACTGTGAAATGGGGATCACAGTAGTCCCTCCTCCCAGGGTTGTAAGGATCAATTGAAATGTTTGTAGAAGTATGTAGCACAGTGCCTGGCACATAATCGATGCTATCTATAGAAATGCTTCCTTCCTTCCCCTTAATGACCTCCAAGATTCCTTCCAGCTTTAAACTGATGATCCTGTGAAGCCCCAAATCTCAGATATTTATGGCAACATCTCTGTATAATTGCATTGACAGGTATATCTCCGAATAACTGTATATAGTTCATAAACTAGACACATAGTTTCTCGATCTGTCACTTGTGTTTTCAGCAATCCATAGTTTTCTCTGAATAACTGTACACAGTTCCTAAGTTAGATTCATGAAGAGCCAAACATGACTGAAATGACTGAACAACACCAAAGCATGTTTGGCTCTTCATGAACCTCATTTGAGGTTTTCTTGGAAAGGACATTGAAGTGGTTTTCTTGGAAAGGACATTGAAGTGGTTTGCCCAGGGTCATACAGCTAGGAAGTGTCTGAGGCCGCATTTAACTTGGGAAGATAAGTCTGCCTTACTCAAGGCCCAGCACTCTAACCACTTCACCACCTAGCTGTTCCTCCAGGGCTTTCTGTCTTTTAATTACTTCCTATTTATCCTGTAGGTAGCTAGCTTTGTATATATTTGTTTGAATGTCTCCCCCATTAGATTGTAAGCGCCTTGATGGCACGGGCTGTCTTTTGCTTCTTTTTGTATACCCAGTGCTTAGCACAGTGCCTGGCACATGGTAGGCACTTAACAAATGTTTCTTGATTGATTGATTGCAGGCCTTCACAGAGTCTGTTTTCCACTTTTCCTGTGTTCTGCCACCTCCCACCATTTTGAGTAAAAAATGAGAAAGAAAGGATTTGGTCTTAAGGGGAAAAGGTTAAAATAGAACTTTATGATCTTGAGGAGAATGCGAAGATGGCTTATGTATGACTATAAACTAATCTCTGCCCTCCCCCCCACAAAAAAGAAATTAGAAGGAAGGAGGGTGGACTTTGTCATAGAAGAAGAGATGGAGGTTGAACATTAGGAGAACTTCGTAACTATAGAATCATAGTTCCCATGTACATCATATTTTCATGGTTTCAGACCATTTTCTGCAACCCTGTTGAGGGAGCTAACCCAAGTATGATTATTCCTGTTATATACGCAAAGCAGCTGACTCAGAAAGGCTAAATGATTTGTCTCTGGCCAAAAAGCTGGTCAATTGGTCAAGGTAGGTAGGGATCCTAGCAAGGTCTTTCTTCTGTCCCTTGGTCCAGAGTTGTTTCCACTATAATCACCTATGAGTCACTGTACTGCAGGTTTGCAATGCACCTTATGGGATCCTGCAGCATTTACTTCCCTGACGGTCTTTAAGGACAGGGTAGATCACTTTCTTTTGGACCCTATAGGCATTCTTAGGCAGGTGTGTAGTGTACATCTTGTAATTCCTGCTACTAGAAGGCTGAATTTGGTAGATCCCTTGAGTTCAGGAGTTCTGAGCTATAGTGGGCTAAGCCAGGTACTGTGTCCATACTAAATCCAGCACCCATATGGTGATCCTCCCTGGGAAGTGGGGACCACAAGAATGTCAAAGGTGAAGCAACCGGGCCTAGGTTGGAATTTGAGCAGGTCAAAGCTCCCATGCCAGTTAGTAATGGGATTGGGCCTTGTGAGTAGTCAGTGCACTTAGGGAGACCCAGTATTTTTTTTTAAGCTTTATTTTCTCTGGGATAAATGATTTCTTGGAGTCACTACCATACCATCCTGTGTACCCAAAAAGAGTTGTTTGTTTGCTTTTTTGAATTCTTGATTTCTCCCTCTGGAGGAGACATAGGCCAGAGAATATGTTTGTATACTAATCAGTAAGGATAGGAAAGGACAAAGCATCGATGCCACAAGTTGAAAATGTGACATTAAGGCCACATTTTTGGACTCAGCTGAAATGTTTGTCATCCTATGGCTAAATGGGGAGGAGGGGGAGATGTTTTTAGTGATATATTTTATTTTTACATCATCGTAACTTCTTTACATAAGCCCTTCTCAATGGAACCCTCCCTTGTAATGGGGGAAAAAAAACAAAACATAGCCAGCCAACACAGCAACTACATCTGACAGTAGCACATACCACTTTCTGCATCTATAATTCCCTTTAACCTCTCTCCCCAAAGAGGGAGGTATGTTTTATCTCAATGGTATTTTTATGGTATTTGGTTTATTTGTTTATATTATTTTAATGGTATTTGGTTAAGTGCGGAAAATAACTTCCATGCATTTCAGGCTGCAGGAGCCACCCTTGGCTTTGTGGGAGGACACTTCATCTCATCCTATGAGGACTTTGATGCCTTCTTCAGGGATGAACAGATCTTGTTGCCTGCCATCATTATCATAATAGTTGCTGGTGTGATGCTTTTCCTTGGGGTGACTGGTTGCTTTGTCACAATCAAAGAATCCCAAATTGGCCTGCGATTTGTAAGTATTAATTTGGTGATTTCCTTTCTAGAGACTCTGGGGCTGACTTAGGAGCATCCTGTTCCATGTATAACAAACAGCTTGGGAGAGGTGGAGAATGTATACAGGACACAGTTTTAAATTTAATTCTGCATTATTAACACTTTCTCCATCACTTTCTAAGTCTAGACAATCAACAGAACAATAAATCAAGCCCTAATATGCAACATTTGCTGATGACCAAAGTGTAAATATTCACGCTAAAAATTTAATAATGAGCTTCCTAGCCCTGGCTCTAGCATCCCTTGGGTTGACTCTTGTCCTTCCCACACACATGTGCAGAGTGTTCATCTAGCAGAATCCAGACTTCTTCACCCTGCCAGATACCATATCACATAAGCAAGTGCTAGGGCGCAGGCCTCAAGGGGCAGGGAGTTCCGGGGACAGGGGTATGGGTGGATTGACAATTATTCTTAAAGGTATCTTAAACATAGGGGAAGGTAGTGAAAGGAAGGAAGAAAAATGAAAAGTAAACACAACAAAACTTGGATTAAATGGAACAGAATTTATCAGACTTTTAGCTCAGCATTTTCAGTACTTTGAAGGCAATACATATGACCAACCCCTACACTCCAAAAAAAACCCTACCTCAACTCTACAGCTCATTATAGAGTTGTAGTGTTTTTGTTACAGGGTTAGTATACATCTAGTCCATATGCCTTCTGCATCTATAGGCCTAAAGAGTGATAAATCATATTTGTTTTTTAAATTTTAATTTATTTTATTTTAATTTATGGAATAAAACAAGCATTTCCATAAATAAGTGATATTTCTTTTTTTTAACATTTTATTTATTTATTATTATTATTATTTTTTGCTTTTTAGTGAGGCAATTGAGGTTAAGTGACTTGTAAGTAGTAAGTGTCATGTGTCTGAGGCTGGATTTGAACTCAGGTCCTCATGACTCCAAGACCCGAGGTCTATCTACTGTGCCACCTAGCTGCCCCCATAAGTGATATTTCTGAGTGACAGTGACTGCTAAGTACCATCTGATTATCAGTCATCAAAGAACAATTCAACTACATATACCAGAACTAGTCAACTAAGGCAGAAAATTGAACACATTCATTTTAGGAAAGGTTTTTTTTTTGTTTTTTGGGGTTTTTTTTTTTTTACAAGAAAAGCTTAAGAATTTAAACAAAATCAAGCATCTGGTTGACTTTTTGTTAACCTTGCATTCATAACACATCTTTTTCCCTAAGCATTCTGGTTTCTCAAGGTTTCATTGTCAGGAGGTTTTCCAAACTCACAAAGTCACACCAAGAAATGTGCACAAAATGAATGTGTAACACCAACCATGTTCACCCTGTAACCCAAAAGTTTATAAGAGAAACTGTCATCCCATAGTCCTTAAAACAGAAAATGTCCTTTTTTAAGATAATATTTTAGCCGTATTTTTATTAACAGTTGTCCAGGAAAGAAGCTATTTTTCAGACTGTAGACATTGACAATAGCAACTTTATATCCATAGATGATTTCTGGCAAAGATCTTCACTAACAGGGCACTTCTAGTCTGTGCTCTTGACAAGTAGGTTTTGAAAAACAAAAGGCAGTTTTTGCGTAATTGGTATTTTGTGCTTCTTACTGCTTCTGAACTTTAACAAAAGCAAATTCCAACCTAGTTAAGGAAAAAAATGATGGCACTTTGTGATCTAACAGAAAGGACTAAGCTGTGTTGTAAGTAATAGAAGTTAACAGTCAAATGAGTGGAAAGAAATTGTGATTTTGAGGCCCTCTTTAATAATAATAATGTACTTAGGGCAGCTAACTGGTGCAGCAGACAGAGCACTGGCCCTAGAGTCAGAAGGACTTAAGTTCAAATCTGGTCTCAGATACTAGCTGTGTGACTCTGGGCAAGTCACTTAACCCCTGATTGCCTCCAAAAACACCAAAACAATAAGATACTTATTTTTGCTCTTGATGCTCATGTGTCCCTATTTTCTCCCTTTCTCTTCAAAATTAACTTAACTGATTCAGAGATTATAACTTGGGCTTATCAACAACTGTTTTAAAAGGCAGTGAGGAATTAGCTTAAAGCTTCTGCCATCTCTTTTTCTTAAGATTGCTACAAGGCAATCTGAAAATACTTTCTTTAGAGTTGTGGTTCTTTTTTGGGTCCTCACGTTTTCCCTTAGGCGCAAGATAAATAGGACATTCAAAAAGAATCAGCTACTATATCAAGACAGGGAAGCAAGTACTACATCTTTAACCTACCCCCCTCATCTGAAGCACAGAGTTTGAATCTAAAATGAAGAATGCACCAATACACAGAGTTATGAGTTATGAATATTTGGCAGCAACTATTTGGAATCTTATAAATTTCATATTCTGCCTGAATTGGAACTTCAATGTTCATTTCTAGGCACTGACCTTAAAACATCAGAGAGCAAAGATCTTCCCTTGGATTTTTATAAAGGCCCTAGCCAGATGTAAACAATCGTTAGACACACAGACAAGTCATGATTATGTATTGTCTCCTTCCCTTCCTCTATTCCTCTCTCTTCTACCTGTCTCTCGCACTCCCCCCCTTTCTCTCCTTCTTTCCCTCTCATCCTCTCACACATTGTATGTTCGATTTGAGAAACATTAAATATCAACCTGCACTGAGGATGTGAACATAGACAAGATAGAACCTGCTTCTAAAACTCTTCTACTCTAATGAGGTGGGATGGGGGAGATATGTATACAGATAATTATGATAAAAGGGATAGTATGATAAGTTCAAAAGATAGGTCCAGATAAAGTGAGAGAGATCACTTTCAGTTGTGGAGGGAGATGACATGGAGGGAGCAGAAGATGTAAAGTCAAGAAAGGCTTTATGGGAGAGATAGCAGAGAATAGGATTTGTACTTTTTCTTTTGATTTTCATGTACCCATATGAATGGTCTTACAGATTTCTTTTGTTTTACTTTTATGTCACCACCCCTTATAACAAAGCAGTTCAGCGAATGTAAAGTTTAAAGTTAATTTACTTAGAATTTTAAATAGTGAGGTTGTGTGTTTAAAAGAATGGAAATTTTGTCAAATTTCACTCACCCATTCATTGTCATGGACCCAAATCTCCACATCAGAATTTTACAGCAAATGAGGGGGAAGATAGACATCTATAATGAAACAAAAGGGAAATTTTTCAACTGTAGCCATCAGAAACCTTAGCCAAACTATGGAGGTCCTAAGATGACACATTTTTGGGAACAATTAGCATCAAGACAGTGACATAAAAATTAGCAGTCCCCCCAAAAATAAATCTTCTCTTGTGCTTACCTATTTCCAGTCCTGGCTGTAGGACATTTGGCCATCCAGAGCAATCTGTCTTTAATCTTTCTCCTGTGGTTTGTAGTCTGGACAGCTGGCAAAAATCCCTGATCTTTGGGCTGCACATGGAAGCTGCTTGGGCTGTGGTTTCTCCACAGGGGTCAGTTGCTGTTCTAGGAAATCTAAAAACAGAATACAAGCGCTAAAGAGCACCAAGAAAGCTTTTTTCCCTGTTCCCAGTTTGGCAGTTCAGATTGTCTGAAAAGTTCTTACTCAACAACCTCTCTCCATTATATCCAGGTCCAGTTTGAGATAATTGGGTTGGGGATGACATTTTCTATGTACTTTAGATAATATGGGGACTCTCCTGACATTGTTGTCCTTACCTGGATGCTTTATGGCTTTATGATTAATATAAAGAGGACTGTCTTGCCTATGTGGAGAAACAATAATGCACAACTTGGAAAGATAAGAATACTATCTAAATATAGGTTTTTGTGAAAGATACTGTTAGTCTCTTTACATTTTAAAATACTAAAAATGATCTCTTTTCACTATTAGTTCCTAGCCATTCTTTTGCTGATGTTTATCACGGAAGCAGCAGCTTTTGTTTTGGGATTCATTTATCGGGAGAAGGTGAGTGGAATGCTAATATGATTAAGTGCCTATTATAGATGTAGACTTTGGGCAGCTAGGTGGTGCAGTGGATAGAGCACCGGGCATAGAGTCAGAAGGACCTTATTCTAAATCCAGCCTCAGACACTTACTAACTGTGTGAACCTGAGCAAGTCACGTAACTCTGTTTGCCTCAGTTTCCTCATCTGTAAAATGAACTGGAGAAGGAAATGGTAAACTACTCCAGTATCTTTGTCAAGAAAATCCCAAATGGGGTCATAAAGAATTGGATACGACTGAAAAATGACTGAACAACAGCACTATTTCCCTGTGTGCTCACAGAATGTTTGTTAAGTGTCCTTAGCCCCATTTCAAGGCACCTGGAGGTTGTTTTCAAATGACTGGCTAGTGAAAGAGGGTAGCACATGAGTGCTTAGCAGAAATACGAAAAAACTGATGAAAGGTAGGCAGCTGTAGTCTTGCAAGTCCAGAGTTTTCCTCTGAATTACTAAATGTGAATCTTTCAGTGGCATATCTGTTCTTCAGTGTAATTGGACAAGCACTTATCTACTACCCTGTGTTCAGGTACTTTGCTAGGCTCTGGTCACATCAAGACAAAAACCAGACAGTCTCTCTTCTCAGAAAGCTTATAGGTGACCCCCTGTATCTGAGAACTGGTATCTTTATCACCCGCAATTTCTCAGATTTTCAACACCTTTCCTAGCCTCTGGCTAGCTAGGACTAAACTTTAGCCCTGAAAGAACTTTACATGCCTACGTTTTCCTTTGGATGTAGCCTGGTATATATCTCTCTCTCTTTAGGCTGCATTGATTTTTTTAGTTGTAAATTTCAAAAAAGAAACTATTCCTCTTCTTGATATGATATCACATACTTGGAGGTGAGTGGAGGGAGTGGGGGATGAGAAGATGACCTGAGAGAAGGTCAAGAGACAAAGACAGTGGGTCCTCTTAGCTATATATGCAGATAGACCTAGAGTAGGGCAACTGAGGCTTTGTACCAGAGCAGAAATATTTAGAGAATATAAACATTTTAAATGATGGTTTTTAAAGAATATGTAATTGGAAAATTTGTTACATTTATATTCTAACAGCACTTTCATTCCTTTAGCATCATAAAACTAGTTTAGCAAGATTTATTGATTAAACTAGGAAGCTACCAGATGGCATGCGTCCTCCTTCTGATAGTAGCACTTCTGATTTACCCTTCCCTAGCTCTTTCCATGTCTGATTTCTCTTTTTCTCTAGGCAATGGCCTTCTAATCAATGGCCTCACATTGTTCTAGGGTCCTTGTCTCTCCTTCTCAAGGTTCAATGTCCCAGGGTCTCCTTCTTGCCCCCTCCCACTTATTCCCACTGATCTGAGGGCATATTTAGTGCTGCTAGCCCTGAATGTTAGAATTACTAGCTACAACTCTTTTACCTATTTATTCAAAAAAAATTTTTATAGGCCTCTCATTTTTATATCATCTTCATTTCTGAATATATTTTCCCTTTCCCCTTTCCCCTTTCCCTTACCCTGTGAGCCAATCATCCTTTGTAATAAGGACTTTTAAAAGGAGGAGGAAAAAAGCACTTTAGTAAAACTAACCAGCTAGGTGGCTCAGTAGATAGAGCACTGGGCCTGGAATCAGGAAGACTTGAGTTCAATAGCCTCAGACACTTACTAGCTGTGTGACCCTGGGCAAATCACTTAACCTCTGTTTGCCTCAGTCCACTGGAGGAGGAAATAGCAAACTACTCCAGTATCTTTACCCAGAAAAACCCATGGACCATGTGGTGCACAGAGTCAGTAAAAGTTGGATACGACTGAACAACTAAAACCAAGCAATACACATCAATTGAATCTGAGAGACTGTGATATTCTACACTTATAGGCCCCTGTCTTTTCAAAGAAGAAAGTGGCGTACATTTTGTTAGCTCTTCTCTTAAGCCAAGTTTCTTGGGAATTATAATATTAATGTTCAATTTCTTTTGTTGTCGTCATTGTTCTATCCATTTAGATTGTTGTAGTCATTTTGTATAATTGTTTCCCTAATTTTTCTTCACTTTGTAATCAGTATGTGTCTTCCTGTGGTTCTCTGAATTTTTCATATGAATAATTTCTTTTGGAACTATAATATTCCATGACATTCCATCCAAATCCAATGTCCTCTTCTCAATCCTCATTCTCCTTGACCTCTCTGCAGCCTTTGACATTGTTGATCACTCTTCTCTCTCCTGGTTCTCCTCCTACTTATCTGACTGCTCCTTCTCTGTCTCCTTTGCTGGATCCTCTCCCAGATCACACCTTCTAATTGTAGGTGTTCCTCAGAGTTCTATCTGGGGTCCTCTTTTCTTCTCCCTCTATGTTACTCCTCTTGGTGATCTCATCAGCTCCCATGGCTCTAATTACCATCTCTATGCAGATAACTCTCAAATCTACCTATTCTGGCCAAAACGCTCTGCTGATCTTCAGTTTCACATCTCCAACTGCCTTTTAGATATCTCCATCTGGATGTCCAATAGACATCTTAAACTCAACATGCCCAAAACTGAACTCATTATTTTTGCCCTTAAATTCTTCCCCACTCCCCCCTCTGCTTCCCTATTACTAAAGAGGACAACACCATTTTTCCAATTCCTTAGGTTCACGACCTAGAAGTCATCCTGGACTCCTCATTATCTCTTAAACCCTAACACCCCCCCACATCCCAACAAACACATGCACATCCAAGCTGTTGCCAAGGTCTGTCAATTTTACCATTGCAACATCTCTGGAATATACCTCCTTCTCTTTCCTCTGAATTGCCAGGACTCTAATACAGGCCCTTGTTACCTCACACCTGTAGTATTGCAATAGCCTGCTTGGGGTGGGGGGGGGGGGGTGGTGACTGCCTGCCTCTAGTCCCTCTTTTTCCAGTTCATCCTCCATTCAACTACTAAGTTGATTTTCCTAAAATGCAGATCTGATCTTGTCACACACACACACACACACACACACACACACACCACTCAGTAAATTCCAGTGGTTTTCTATGGCCTCTAGGATCAAATACAAAATGCTCTGTTTGGCTTTCAAAACCTTTTATAACCTCACCCCCTCCCACCTTTCTAGTCTTGCATCTTACTCTTCAACAAGGTACTCCCATCTTTAGGCATTTTCTCTGGCTGTCCCTCATGCTCCCCCTCTTGTGCTCTGCTTACTGATCTCCCTGCCTTTCTGTAATTCCCAAGTAAAATCCCTTCTTTTATTGGTAGCCTTCCCTAATACCTTTTCATTCTAGTGCCTTCCTTCTGTTAATTACTTCCTATGTATCCTGTAAGTAGCTTTTTTCTACATAATTGTTTGCTTGTTGTCTCTTCCATTAGATTGTAAATGTCTTGAGGACAGGGCCTATCTTTTGCTTCTTTTTGTATCCCCACTGCTTAGCACAATGCCTGACACATAGTAGGTATTTAATAAATGTTTATTAATTGATTTATTCAAGTACCATAATTTGTTGCCATTTTCTCATTGATGGGCATCCAAGGTTCCTTCCATCTCTTAAGTCCTAGTAAACTATGAAATGCTTTATAAGGCACCATGTTAGGGTATGTGCTAACTGATGAAGATATAAGTACATACATAATCCTATTAGGGATGGGAGAGATTTTACCTGTTAAATATTGACATGACTCCTGAATTTTATCACAAGAATTACCTAACTTTTTCCTGATTTGAGTCTTGAGAGGCTACTTTATGATAATTTATATAATTAAACAAAAGCTATTTTGTAATAAGAGCATACAAATATTTTTCTTTGTCTATAAAGATATGTGTGTTTATATAACTATATCTACATAGATATACATAGATATAGATAAATACACACATATATGTGTGTATATGTGTATACACACACACACACACACACACACACATATATATATATATACACATATATATACACACATATATTTTAAATTTCAGGTAGTGGCAGAGGTACAAGAGACTATGGATGAACTCTTTCAAACATATGGTAAGGAAAAGCCAGAGACAGAGATGGTGGATTTCTGGCAATCTCAGGTATGTAACTGATAAGTAATTAATAATAATAATAATTATTGACTAATCTATTTATAACCAATCTTATAAGGTATATGGGATGTCTAAAAGTCTTAGCGTAGTTTTCAGTTATTAATAGTTAAAAAATTGCATTAAGAAAAACATTAGCATTTGGTTCTTACCAAAAGATTAAGAAACTTATACTAATGTAAAGTTTTTGAAATCTTTAATCTCTTTTTACTTTGCAAATGAATAAAAATTGACTAAATCTTGCTTTATTATGTTCTTTAAGGATCTCTGGTTTCATCCCTCTGCTGGTGAAAATTACAGGGCCTCTGTACACTAGCAGACAGACTTCCTGAGTTGCTGTGCCTGAAATACTTATCATTTGTTGGTCAACCGTCTGGTGATCCTACTCTCTCCTCACCTAGCTAGTCTGGTCCTGAACTTGTACCCTTCCATTTTGGTTGGATTTACCAGACCATGCCCTTTAGGCATACCCAACCTTGTAGGACCCAGAGACACCTCTGGGCCTCACAATAGTTGGACTTTATTTTCAATCAACAGTTATTTATTGATCATTTCCATACCTACCACTATACAAAATGCTGTGAAGAATACAGCTCCTACCTTTAAATCCTTAGGACTCTTCCTCTATTAGTTTCATTTCCAAGAGCCCAGGTTTTACAAAGTGTCAAAGTTCAGATTTGGTATTACCCAGAACACATAAAACACCAATACAGTCTAGTTCCCTAGAATTTTGCCCCTGACCTCATATGATTTCTAAATAATGTGGTTTGTTCACTCTTGTATATTGGTCTCAATTTGACATATTTCAACAAATAAGCACCATCAGGTAAATTTGAAGTCAGACAGAAAATTAATAGAATCCCAGGGTATTCTCTGGGGCACTCAAAATGCTTCTTTTAAGTTACCTTGAAGTGCCTACTAGTTTAATTAATTCAGATAATTCTGACATCTTCATGATAAAAAACCATGATTAGCTAGAATTGTCCATATTGATTCTACTTTTGTCCCATTTGAGGATCTTAGGATCATAGTATATGTATTCTTGTGTATTTATGTATATATATTCTTGTGTATATATATATACATTATATGTATATGGGTATATATATACATATATATATTCTTATTTAACTAGAGAGGAAGCTTAGATAAGTAGATAAATGGGCCTTAGAGTCAGAGAAACCTAGAACCTCACCTCTGACTCATATTGGATCTGCAACCCTGGGCAAGTAGCTTAACATTTCAATGCCCCAGGAAACCCTCTTAAGATTATTAAGTGGCAGAACACTGGCTAACCTGCATTGATAGGGGGAATTTCTTATAAATCCAGGTCTCTTCTCTCTTCCTTCCAAAAAAGCAATTTATTAATGATTTCAGATGTAGGAAGTGGTAGCGTTTGCTTTTAAAAATTATTTGAAGGCACATTTCTAAAGAAAATTAACTGCTTTTCATTCTATTTCAGTTTCAATGCTGTGGTGTTAAGAACTACACCGACTGGGTTAATAGAGATTGGTTCAACCACACCGGAAATAGCAGTGTCCCTCAGAGTTGCTGCAAACAAGAATTTAAGAATTGTAGTGGACTCCTCAGTGAGCCTCAAGAACTGAATACAGTGGTAAGGCTCACCTTGAATAATCCGTAAAGGATATTTCTATCATCTTAGCTTTTTCCTGAAGTAGTGATAGACCTGATTTTGGGGGGGGGGGGAGGGAAGAGTTGTACTACCTCTAACTTCTCTGGAATAGGAGATTTCCCTTTGAAGAAACTCCTCATATCAGTGCATATTGGCAACAATTTGGGAATCTATAGTCCTGGAGAGTTGCCTGGGCAGGGAGAGATTAAGTGACTTGCCTTTGGTCATAGGTCAGTAGGTTTCAGAGATCTGACTCTGGAACTCAGGTCTTCCTGACTCTGAGGCCAGCTCTTCTTCCTTTGTGCTTTGCTGCTTCTCAGTGAACCTGATATGTCAGAGTCCAATCTGGCTATTTCTGTATGTGGGCAACAATAAGGAAACCATAAAATGATGCCATAAAGGATTGGTGTTGTGGATTTTATATGTATTCCCTGAACCCAACAGGAAAGCTATAAAAGCCTTTATAGAGTTAGAAAAATAGTTTATCCCTGCCCACCTCCAAACTCTTGCATATGATTTGTAACTTCCATAGTGTTAATATTTGCCCATAGGCAAAGATCCTTTGAAGCTCTGTGGAATGGTTAATATGAATCAAGAATGTGCCCTGTTCTACCAGAAGGGTCATAAATTGTAGGAGATTTTGTAAAAGTGAGAAATATTCCTAGAAGAAACGGTGTATGTAGGACTCATCTTCTCCTCAATGCATGTAACTTATACTACTACTAAAAGAGTGAATAGGATTCTTTCTGAGCCTGCTTCAATAACTTTCTAAGAGATGATATAGGTTTTGGAGAGAAGTTTCTTTATTTTTAAATATTTTTTATTCCAAACTTAAATACTCCCCAAAAGGAGCATTTTTGTATACCGAGCAGAACACAAAAGAGTATTCTATATGAAATCTAGAAATCATGAATCTCTATTTCATATGCTTGCTTTTTTTCCCTCAAGTATATACTAAATTCTGCATGATACTTTCCATACTATCCTGCTTATCTTTGCTTATTTCTGAACTTACTGTTGTCTTCATCTGTATATTTAAAAAATAAAGTTATAGTGGCCTCTTTTTTTGTCATCTCTATTGCTAAGCCCTCTCTCTCCTTTAATTCCCTCCTCCCGTTAAAAACTGAGAGAAAGAAAAAGAGAAGCTTGTATCAAACACAGCCAAGAAAAATTAATCCACACAGTGACCATGTCCAAAAGTGTATATCTTTTTCTGCACCTTAAAATCTATCACATTTTTATCAGGAGGGTGGGTAATGAGCTTCTCTGGATATGTGGCTCTTCATTGCTTTGATCAAAGTTCTGAAGTCTTTCAAATTTGTTTTTTCTTTATAATGTTGCTGTGCTTGTATAAATTGTGCTCTGGGCTGTGCTCACTTCACTCTGCATCAGTTTACACTACCCAGGATTCTGTGAAATCGTCTCTTTTGTCATTTCTTATGGTATGGTTATATTCCATTAAAATAGTTGTCTGTAAGGCAATTGAAGGCACCCCTTCAATTCAGGTTCTTTTCTTTTTGTCTTTTCAGTACTCCCTTTTTAGGATCAGATAAGGTTAGTTAATCTTGTGACTATTTTCTCCTGTTGAGTTTAGTGTATTTCTATACCAACCTGTGTGTATATGAGTATGTGCAAGCCTTGAATGTTTCAGAAAAGTGATGTTCATCTGATGTCCACTCTTCCCTGACCCCCTACTTGTATGTTTATTTACTTTTTCCCTCCACACATCTCAATTATGAGAAAAAACAAGTTCTACCTCCTTCTCCCTTCCTACACTAGTTGTAATGTAGCTTTATCCTCCCTTCTCTTTTCCTTTTAAAAAACCCTTATAACAAAATCAATCCACCTTCATGTCATTAAAACAAACAAACAAAAAACTCCACTGCCTAAAGTTCTGAGTGATGCTTGTTTCTTCTCTTATTAAAATGTTAGCCCAACAACCTCATACAACTCCTTCCGACTGCCCAAGTAAATTTGCCTTCCTAGGTTTTTATGGACTTGTATTTGTATTTCAAAGTTCCTACTCAGCTCTGGTCTTCTCATTAGAAATGCTTTTAAAGTTCTTTATTCCACTAAAGGTTCATTTTCCCCCCTATAGGATCATACTTAGCTTTTCAGGGTAAGTTATTCTTGGTTGTAAGCCTCTATCTTTTGCCATTTGCAATATGATATCCTGTATCTTCTCTTATTTTTGTTATAAGCTGCCAGTTCTTATGTGATCCTGATTGTTGTTCCTTGGTACTTGAACAGTTTCTTTCTGGGTGGCTTGTAGTACAGCTATCCCTTCCACATCGTGACTTTTCCCATTGAGGTTTCGATAAATCACAAGTCGGCATAAGAAATTAAATGGGAATTTTGGGGGAGTTTTGCAGAAGCTGCAGAAAACTCACGAAGGCCAGAAGATGACACAGAAAAAGTTTAGAAAGTCAGAAATGCATAAAATATATGTATAGTACTGTATAATATCAACCCAAATTTTACAATAAGGTACTGTAAACACCTCATTAAAGAAAAAGAAAATAATTCAGACTTCTCTAGTACCAAAAGGAGAGCCAAAAAAATTTTATGTAGGTTTTCCAGATTGCAGGGGGCACTGCAACCCTAGCTCCCAAGATGTGGAAGGGATAACTGTATTTTTTTTTCTTTAACATGGGAGCTCTGGGTTTTGACTATGACATTCCTGCAAAATTTCCCTTTGAGTTTTCCTTCAGGAGGTGATCAGTGGATTCTATCTATACTTTGTCCTCTGCTTTTAATACAGGGGTTCTTATCCTGTGGTCCATGAACTAGTTTTGTTTTTTACTATTTCGATAACTGTATTTCAATAAAGTTAGTTTCTTTTGTAATCCTATGTATTTTATTTTATGCATTTTAAAACATCCTGAGAAGGGGTCCATGGGCTTCACCAGACTGTCAGACAGGTCTACAATACAAAATAGGGTTTAAAAACTCCTAATAGATTTTGGCAGTATTCATTATTTCTTGAAATATATTGCCAAGCTTTTAGAAAAAAATTTATCATTATTTCAGGGAGTCTTAAATTATCTCTCTTTGAATTGTTTTCCAAGTCAATTGCTTTTGATATCAGATATCTTCTTCCTTTTTTTTAACTTGATTTTGTTCTTGTAATATTTCTTGTGTGGAATCATCAATTCCTCTTTGATCTATTCTAGTTTTTAGGGATTCCATTTCTTGTGTAAGATTTACCACTCTCTCTTTTAAGCTATTTATTATCCTTCCAACTATTTCCTCCAGAAGTTTTTTCATTTTTTATTTCTTGCTTAATTTCTGCTCATGTGGTCCTTGTGAAAAATCTATTTTTTCCTTTAAGTATCTATTTGCATAGCTATAGTACACAACAACCAATCAAAAGCAGCAGGCATGGGTAACTAACAAAGCAAAGTTAGCTAGCTACAAAAATAACACTACCTGTGTGTGTGTGTGTGTGTGTGTGTGTATGAAACACAGCTTTACACATTAGTATATACAGAAAACAATTAAAAACAGACATTGCTATAGTATATAAAAGAATCTAGTATAATAAACATAATAGCAAAATATGAAACAAGTATACTCCATCATGCAATAATTCACATGTATAGCAGTAAACATGTGTAATTGTATTCAAGGCACATTTCACAAGAACAATCTCTAGTCTTGTTGCCTAGATACGCGTGTAACTAGAGCTTCAGATTTGACTGTAACATCATAACTTGGCCTAGCAATTGGTCAGATTGACCTAGTTCCCTTCTCAATGACCGATCTCTCTAGAACAGAGCTAGTAGTTGGTATGAGCTAACCATGAGGATTGTCATATAGATGTGTATACACCAGCACTGGCAGCCTTGTCAGGTTGTCTGTCAGCATATTACTGCTTCATGGGTTGAATCTCTACCCCAGGAGAGTCTGTATCAGTTTCAGGCAGGAAAGGAGCTGGTCTGGGTTCCATTCTCTTGCCTTGTAATAATACACACAATCTCCTTCATTGGATACATCACTTTCAGTGCCCATATCTGTGTCAGAAAGTCTGTACATCCGATGGAAGAGTCCCATACCAATGGGCTTTGCAGATAAACAGAAGTATGCTGTATTTTAATGTAATGTAGGGGCTTTGATTTTGCCACATAGTGAAGAGTATTCACAGGGCAACATAGAGGTTTAGGGGAACGTCTTGGGTGTGCCTTCAGTCCTTCTAGGTATTTCAATTTTTTCTTCTCACTAGGGTTGTGCTGGGGTGATGGAATTACGAATAAAGGAACTTATCAATTACTTCATGATTTTCATCCTGGGATTTGCTGTTGTAAAGGTATTTACTTGAATTTTCCAGATGAATCTTCTCCAGAAGTACCTTATTCAGAGTTGTAACCAAGGTGTTATGACTAGAATATTGCCCAGGATTCAGCATTTGGGGCCTGCCTCCATCCCATGGTCATTCAGAAACCATTGTTCCCATGCTTCTGGTTTCCCTCATTGCCTTAGTATCACAAAATGTCCATCTTTCAAGGCTCACCTTCCCTGCCAAACTCCATTAGACTATACTCTCATACTTACGATAAAGAAAAATGAGTGCCTAGATTAAGAATCAGGATGAAGGATAACTCTTTAAAATAAATATTGTATAGAATATCATAGTAGGAGTTAGCAGCAGTGAGATTATATCAGAAGAGATAGGCAAATAACTCCCCAAAATCCTGTAGTTCAGACAGGAAGCTGAGCAGTTTGGGTGGCAAGGGTTCCTGGAGGAGAGAAGAGATTTTTCTTTGGTGTGTTCACTTTAAAAAGAGGTAAATGAGTCTCTGAGAAAATCCTTTTCTTTTCCAGTTTTTTGGAATGCTGAGCATCTTGGTGATTGCATGCAGGCAAGAAGAGAATGGCTACCGACCCTTGAACTCTGGAGTGTATGCTTGAAAAGAGATGAGCACATGAAACTTCACTGAATCATTCAAACACAAGTGGCTTTTACAGACTGACCCCAAAGAATATTAAAACTCTATGGATAAATGTTTTTATTCATCTGGACTGAAGATGATGAGCTCTGGAATTTGTCATTCCTTACCACTCTGTTCTCCCATACCACTCTGACACACAATCAGCAATATATGAGAAATAAGACTTGATTAATTGAATCTACATCTAAGTCACCTAGGAATTAATATAGTCTGTAAAAATACCACATTAATGGGGGACAGTTAGTTCCATGGGAACAGTGCTATAAATGAGTGTCAGATGGAACATTGGAAATTTGGGCCTTGATGGTGGAATTTTATTATTATATATTGGTTATGACAACTTTATGACTATACTGCTACTTAGCTTTTTAAATTATGAAATATTTCAACTGTGTCTGGGCTTAAGTTGGCATGCCACACATCTAAGTGGGTTGTTTTGGTTGTTTAAAACACTAAATTAAGTTATAACAAAATTGATTGTTAAATGCTAACCTAACTGTGGTTTGATTCAGCTGTATTGTTTTGACAAGATTATTGCTTACTAATTCACCTCATTGTGAAATACCTGCCCAGCTCATAATAAACAAACCCAGTTCTCTTCCTTATTTAAATTCCATGGGTTTCTCTGATAAAAAGTACATGTCACAGAATGACAGATCACAAAGAGTTAAAAGAGATTTCAGAGTCCTAAATCCACCTTGTCTGTATTTGACTGAGAATCCCTTTGACAACATCCTCAACAAGTTTTCAGTAAGTTTTTAAAGAAAAGAGAATAGTTGAAACTTTTTCTTCACATTATGTAAAAGTTGTCTTCTAGATGAGTCCTTTTACTTTAAATGTAACATTCCTGTAACCTACTTTTCAAGCAACAAAGGAAATGTGAATTGAGTTTAAAACATTTTGAGGTTTTTCTCGCTATGAGGATGATAAATGAGTGATTAGGTAGTTGTAGGTAACTATTGGCTCTTTTTGGTGGTAGTAGTATGTTAGCCATCTTTTGTTAACAAATTATAGACTTTTTTCCCCCCTTTTCCTTTGCTTTGCTTTCTTTTTTCCTTTCACTGTTCCCTCTCCCTCCACCTTTGTCTGGCAGATCAGCATAGAAGGTTTATCCTACTTCCTTTCTTCATCCTGGACTAGTTCACAGCTCCTTAGGCAATAAAGTGGCCGTCCACCCTAAGGGACTCTCTACATTGGTTCCAGACTTCGTGTGGACACCTGGTTGCCCCTTAGAGGTCCACCAGCTTCAGTCCTCCCCAGCAGTACCATTCTGCTTGGCCAAATTTTAGACATTTTCATGCTCACAATTGTCCTCTATCATCTTCCATCTCATTTTAGATTTTGAAATATTAATTAAGACTTATTTAGGCTCACATGCATAGATGAACCAATTACAATGCTGTCAGATTACAATTAAAATGTTTCTTTAGGATTTAGGTTACCTGAAAAACAGACAGGCTCTAATATGCTTCTCTCTTAAGGAAATAAAGACTTCCCTTGTGTGAGAAGATTTTCGCTTCAGATTAGTAGCTTATATATTTTTTTTCAAAATTCTAGACGATATGGATATCTTTTGGACTTTAGGCAGTTATAAAAGACCTCTTTGTGGCTTTCAGAGATCAGGTTTTAAATTATTCAGTGCTGGTTTTGAAGTACTAGAGAGTTGGAATTATTTTATATGAAGCTGAATCTTTAGGTAACAACAGAAAAAAACAAACTTTAAAAAAGGCAATTGTCTTAAATAAGATATATGTAGAGGCTCCTCAAACAATGCTATATTAAAAGAACAAATTACTTTCCACAAAATTTCTTATGATTCTCCTAATTATGCAATTATTCTTACTCTGTTATATCACTAGGTAATTAATGTCTTTTAATTTAAACTTTCATGTACTGAGCACTGTCTTTACTAATTCTTCAAAAATCACCCTGAATTAATTTTAACAAGCTAATAAAATATAGAACACCTAAATATGTTTGCAATTATTGTTTCCCTGTTCCCATGGATACATAAAAGAGAAAGAGTTGAAGTCTATCAGTGCCAGACTTGGCTGTCACTAGAGACAACAGGACACATGAATACAATGACAATAATGAACATTAATTTGGGTTCTAATAGCTGCAGCATGGTCCAGTGGAAAGAGCTTTGGAGTAGGAGGACCTGGGTTCACATCCACTTCTGTTACTACCTGTGTTACCCTGGCTAAATCAGTTTTCTTATGTATAAAATTGAGCGGTTTGGAGTAGATGGTCTCCAAAATCCTTTTCAACTCTAAATCCATCAACTGAATGTAAGTTTTGCTTTTATTTAGCTTTACAATTTCTCATTATTGTGCACTGAATCATTGGATATGTGATATCAGTTGATATTTATTTATTACGTGCTTATTTACTATATACACCAGTCACCTTAATTTGGGTTCTACAAGTGCAGCTGGGGATTAAAGTGCTGGGGATTTTTTTAAAAGGCAAAAGCAGTCCCTGTTCCTAACGAGTTTATATTCTGATGGGGCAGACAAGACCTGTAAATCACTACATACAAGATAAACACAGAATAGGTGAAAAGTAAAAAACAGGATTTGATAGTAGCAGCTGGGGGAAAGGGGAAGAGGCCTCCTGGAGTGGGGAGGGAGGTGCCACTTGAGCTGAGTCTGAAAGAAATGGAGTTGGGAGGTTGGGAGAAAGGAGCATTCCTGGTAAGGGGAATAGCCACAGGCAGTGCCAAAGTGGGAGGTGGAATGCTGTGAATCAGAAATGGCCTGCAAGTAGACCAGGATGGCTAGAGGGGAATAGAATGTAAGAAGGCTGGAAAAATAGGAAGCAGAAAGGTGGTGAAGAACTTTTAATGCCAAACAAAGGGCTTCATATTTGATCTAGAGGAATTAGAGAGCCTTGAGAATTGAAAGCATTTGGCACTTTTTACTTTTAAAAAAAAACAAGTTCTTGTTTACATGAAAGCCAATTGATTGAAGTCTAGTTTCTGAGTTTAAAATAAATTCTTTAACCAACATGTCTGTAAATGGTATTTTCTAATCCAATGAAACAGTAAACATCTGCATGCCAGGCACCATGCTGGGAATACAATAAATTAAAAAAAAGAGAGAGACCTCGGGGCAGCCAGGTGGCACAGTGGATAGAGTACCGGCCCTGGAGTCAGGAGGGCCCGAGTTCAAATTCAGCCTCAGACACTAGCCACTTACTAGCTGTGTGACCCTGGGCAAGTCACTTAACCCCATTGCCTAGCAAAAACAAAACAAAACAAAAAGAGATACCTTGCTCTCAAGGGGCTTACAATCTAAAGGGGAAGACAACACTCAAAAGGAGGAGGAAGGTGAGGAGAACAATTGGTGGGGAGGGGCTGGGGTAGCTTGTTCTGTGGAGCTGAAACCAGGTAGAACAGCAAAGTGAAGCAATCTATAAATCCAGTTTCTAACCCCTATAAAGAAGGGCCGTGGGAGGAGTTTGGTACGCCATCCTTCAGCCCTCCAATCAGAGGGGAAAGCAGGCTGAGAGAGATAGAGTCAATCAAGGCCTGAGCTATCCCCATGGTGGTGAGTGGTGAATGTAGAATACAGAATATATATTTTCTAGATAGATGAAAATGATTGGAGCAATAAAAAACAAATGGACATATTGTCACCTTAGGTGAATTTCTAATGAGACTCTAAAAAGATAATTTTACAGTGGCAGTGGAATAGAGCACTCTTTTGCAATGATTGGTGGTAGAAATGCCACATCTGTGTTATATCCTAGTTTTGTTTTCGTGCTACCTTGGTGAGAAGTGGTGGATCCAGGAGAATTAACCAGGGACCTGAGAGTTGTCGGGTCACATGCTATCCCTCTAGTGCATCATCATGGTAATTCGTTGTCTAAGAATTCCCAAACCTGAATTATTCCCATGACCTCTCCCTTATGCCCTTATCAAATGATACTCCTCGGCACTCCTGGTTTGATATCATCAGGCCAGGGGTAATACCGTTGTTTTCACTGCTGCTACAGCATAGGAAAATAATTTCCCCCTTGCTGTATGGTTGTGGCTTTGCCATGTAGGACAGAATGTCTGAAGATTTAAGGATAAATAGCAGCTGAACTGCTATCAACAGTGGTTGGTCATCTAATTAGCACTTTAAAGGACAGTGAAACTACAGATTCACCAAGTTACTTTATGCATCAAGATAGTTTACCAATATTTCCACAGCTATTTCCTTCACTATGAGTCCATTTTCCTTTTCCTTTTTTTCTTCCCTTCTATCTCTGCTTTTATGTGTCTAAACCTGTTTTTCTTTATCTCACTACTTATTTCTGTTTTTCACCCCTGAACTGGTCATAATGTGGAATTGAAGTATATTTAGCACATATTTTATGTATATTGAATAAAATTCTCATCATGTTTCTGCTCATCGGAAGCATCTTTATCTTTTTATGTCTTAAGTGTCTTTTTATTTCTCAAGAATATCTCCAGCCATTTAAAGTGGCTTTTTTTATTTCTATGTTGTTCTACTTTCCTTTGACAGAAATTAATGTTTTCCCACTCTACATCAGCTATTAATGTCCTTTCCAATAGTATGATTATGATTTTGATAATCTGCCCCACTTTACCCCATCAGCCACCTCCCCCTAAACCAAACCAAATATGAATGAATATATCACTAAACCAATCATTTATCTACTTTTCCAACCTTTTAAACCTAACTGATTCACATGCTATTTCTATACCTGCATTAAAATTACTTGCCTTCCTATAATCTAGATATATCCCTTTCCTTAAAGGTCATTCACAACAATGTACAAGGCATTACATATTCTGTTAAATAACATCCTTTAGATAACTAATCCTTTATTTACTTTGAGGAAAGTAAATTCAAATGTGGAATGCCTAGAAAGTATCTATGTAGGAATATGGTGGTCCTCCCCAAAATCTGATTTTTTTGGTCCTTGTCTTTCTTGTGACAGGCCTCTACTCTGGCTACAATCCTTCCTATTAACACCTTTCCCCTTTTATGAAATCTTTTATGTTTGAAACCTTCTATGTCCAGTGTTGTTAAGCTGGGTATAGAAGTGAGGCAGGGACAAGTTTAATGGCCAATCGCTGGAATCTGCCTTTGACATCAGAGATGGGAATCCAATCATACCTGCCTAAATGCCACATGACAATGATCTTCCCTGTTTCACTGTTGCAGACATAGGTGGACTGCTTTGATACAGATAACTTCCCTAGATCTTACCCATAGGGTGTCAGCCTATTTTCCTACTTTTGGAGGTTTCATGTCCCGGCCATGTTACTGTGGAATTCAGCAAGACAAAAGGTTGAGAAAATCATCCAAAGTGTATTTGGGAGCCTTATTCTTAAATCTCTGATTAAGAATTGCATAGGATTTAGGACTGAAAATGACAAATATTGAAATATTCAACAAATGTTGATTAGCTAGAATTGGCAACGCCCTGTGATATGACACTGAAACTGTTTTGATGGTACCTATGATTCAACAGAGTTAAGGGAGCAGGGGATAAGTACAGAAAAGAACAGCACTCAAATAACTATGATACAAGGTAGAGAGACAGATCAATGGACACTCAGATTGAAGTGCCAACTCTGCCACTAAACTAGCTGTGTGACTTTGGGAAAGTCACTTCCACTCTTTAGGCCTCAGTTTCTTCATAATGAGAATATTGAACTAGACGAGCCCTAATGTCCCTTCCTAGTCTAAATCTATTATGTACAATCCTAAGACATGGGGATCTGTCTTAAGGAAGTAAGGATCAATTATATACTTGTGTAATTCTGAAGGCAATATTCTTGATACCTGTCACAAGAACAGAAAACTTCAACCACAATAAAAGATTAATTATTAGAGTTGTAGTTAATATCCACAGTGATAAAATGTAAACTGCAGACCAGATTGACCAGAGTAACAGTAATTTTTTAATAACCTAGTATCTTTCACTGGAATTTTCTCCACAGTAGGATTTTAGGAGAGAATACCAAACTTCTAGAAAGCAAGTTATCAGATTTTGATTAAAAGGGCAACTTTCAAGGGGTATCCTAAACATATTTAACCCAATCTCCTCTACCTCCTACATCTGTAGTTCTTTACCATGCTTCTTTATATTCAGAATGATGACCCTGAGATAAACCCAACACTATAATAATAGTACCTTACATATATATGGATAAAACTATATCTCTATTTGTAGAGATACAATTTTCCTCTTTCAAAGCGCTTGTCAACACCCCACCCCCATCCCCAGATTAAATGTTAGGGAGAAATTGAGGGGTTCTCTCAGCTCTTGTCAACAATTCCTCCATGGTTCTATTCATCATCCCTGTGAGTCACCAGACAAAGACTTCCTCCCCTGGCTACCACTCCCCTAAACGTGTTGTCTCCCCATTAGATAAAAGCCCTATGAAGGCAGGGAGCTCATGCCTTATATTCTCAGCTTAGCATGGTGTTTGCACATAGTGCTTAAAAAATATTCCTTCTTGCATGCATTCATTCATTCATTCATATATATATATATATATATATGTATATATGTTTTAGGCAATTGGGGTTAAGTGACTTGCCCAGGGTCACATAGCTAGTAAGTGTCAAGAGTTTGGTCTGAGGCCGGATTTAAACTGAGGTCCTCCTGACTTCAGGGCCTGTGCTCTATCCACTGCGCCACCTAGCTTCATTCATTCTTGAAAAAGTGAGGAATGCTCACTTGAACAGAAAATTCCCATTCATGGTTTCTGAGGAAGAAAGGACATTGAGATTTGTAATTGTCGTATCTGAACCTGGTATTAGTGACTGGTACTCCGGGGACTCTTGCCCTGTAGGAACATTTCTGTTTCCAGAATTTACCAGTAGTGGTTGCATGTTTTCAAATTTGTACTATCTGAAGTTATAATTATATAAAATATGGCCATTGGTTCCAATCCAATGGAAATTCAAATAATGCAATAATTTCACAGGATTCATTATTTGCATTAA